TTCTCTACGCCACTCTTTTCTCTTTCTATATTCGTGACCTTCCCATTAATCCAGATGATCTTCTTATTAAGTATGCTGATGATGTCACAATAGATTCCAAATTCCAAGGCGATTTTCGCTTCTTACATCTTCAAACCAGTTTATCTGCCTTAAACTTCTGGTATTCGTCTTCAAAGATATCTTTTAATGCATCTAAATGTAGCGCTGTTATCTATTCGCTCGCCAAAGGAGAACGACTACATTCTTTTGAAAGAAATTGTTCTGCACTCTGTGTTGACAATCAGTCTGTTCCCCCAGTACATTCTCTACTATACCTCGGTGTCACTATCTTCCAAAAACTCACCTGGACCTCACATTAAAATTCTACTGTTGTAAAGATTTGACGATTGTGTTTCTTTTTATCCTACTTGCGTTCTTCGAGAGTTCCATTGTATTTACTCACTCGATTCGTATATCCATGTGTTAATAATCGTCTTCTCTACTCCCCCCAGTTTTGTTTGCTGGTCTTGGAGTTAAACACTACACAATTCTACGCCAGTCTATTAAAATTATTTCTCGCACAATTGGTATTTCTTATTTGCACTTGCTTAACCTTATTGCCGATAAACATGTTACCTCTTGCGATAACTTTTGCAAAAATATTCTGTCAGACACCACTCATTACACAGAGAACTTAAACAATGCATATCCACCTCTGTAACTGGACGCTGTTATAAACTGGTGTATACTCGTACCACTGCCCATCATTTGTTCGTCAATCCCTATCTTTCGAGATTTCTGGCTTAATAGGCATCCGTTAGAGAAAATATTTTGAATTTCCTACACAACTGATATTCATTTTCAAGCTTTTATTCTACATTCCTTTGAATTTACGATGCTGTTTCTTCACTTTTGTGTGACTTTATGCAACAAGAAATATTCCTGGACTGCAAGTAGCTGAGAATCCGTCCACTGGGATGAACAAAGCGTATTTTGGTTTGAGTTGGCTTGACTTCACTTAGCTGCAGCAGTGGGGCAGTCAGATTACTGAATCACTGCAATCCCAACACTTATTTTGCTGAACGATTCAAAGAAGGCTTATGCACATGCGGAAAAATCAATGACAAAGGCAGAAGATAATTATTGCCAAGGAGACCAGGAAGCTCAGGGTTTCGTATTAGCCATCAGGTGATTTCACGGAATGCTATACTACCGCCTACTTAGGCCCCAAAGAAATCTTGACTCGCTGCTTCAAAGCTGGATTATGATACTACCATTCGATTACGAATTCANATGAATCACCGATCTTCGGTCAACGGCGACCAAACTGATGAGCAGTTCAACACAATGCCAGAATTTTGAAGACATGACTTTCTTTTGGATTTTTGTTGAAAAGGACAGAAATCAGATTGTATTGTAATAGGAACAACGTTTGATATGGCCTGGGAAGCTATTCATTTTGAAACAGAAATTAATTTGCATGATTTAAGTTTTCATCAGACTACCAATTATATAATTTAGCACATACATTCCACATTATGCTCTCAGTTGTCAAGCCCCTTTTCTTTACGATCTTCATCTGCTTAGTTCGAAGGTTTGTCTATACTCGCCTGAACATCAGGCATACAGTTATCCATCAAACTCATGCAATATCCTGACGTTGTTCCTCCCAACGCTTAGTGTTTAGATCTTTATTCATGCGACTGAATTTTATATTGGCCACATAAAATGTTAAATATCTATACCAATGACCACTTATTTTTTGCGTTCTACTTATAAAATGCTGATAAAATATATTATTTCTCGGTTCTGACGAGGGTTGCTGGTGTATCAGTTGTAAAATGAAGAAGCCTCACAAAGAAGTAATTAGAATTTGTTTGTAAAAATGACTCACAGACATCCAAGAAGTATTGCGCTTACGTTTTGTTAATTTTCTATTTGCCCCTTGTTATTTTCAAGCACTGAAAGTAGTGGTGTCTCTATGAAGTCCACCAAGTTGACTGTCAGACAGCATTTGCCATTTCCCTCCAATAAATACAGAACCCTGACCAATGACGTCCAGTCCCGACATAGCTGACTTATCCCTGTTTCCAACAGGAAAACATCTCTCATTGCACTCAAACCCCACCTGTTGGAAGTTAATTGAATGAGATCAACATTGCGCTTGAGCCGTCCAGAAACTGCGTAACTGTGAGTAGCATGTAGCCACATGATTTGTCAAGTTATTTCAGCTACAAAATATGAATTAATCGACTAATCGATAAGTTATTTCGAATAGTTGCATTGACCGGAATAAACACCTTTATGAAACGGTAATCATTTATTAGAAAGAATGAAGTTCCTTACTGCTTTGCTTGAAGTAATCCTTTTTTATTATGAACTTTAACAACTACAAATGTTATCGCAACACTCGGGGCACGCAAATTAAAACGACGATAAATGAGAACAAAAACCCACTGTAATGGGTGATAAATTTCAGAATCAATTCTTTTCATCCATAGCTCTCGAGATACACAGGTGACATTGTAAACGGAAATGTATTTCTAAACTAAGAGTCACGTTGCACGAGTTCGATTAATACATGAGCATGTGTCATGAAGCAATCTTGCACAAAACAAGCGACCGTTTAGCGATCCTGTAGTGATTTACTTCGTAATTTGATAAGCCGTTGTGCGTGATTCACCAAAACCCTCGTAACCCCCCCCCCCCTCGCTGTGGATAGTGTTCATTCTCGTCCACTTTTCATGGCGTGCTAAGCCTGAGCTGATTTCTCGATCGGGCCGATTGAGTATTTTGCATCTAGTGCCCGGTTACGCACGCACCATTTGCCCCCTCTCTCCTCTCTCTCCTTCTCTTCTTCTCTGTCGCACGCACATATACTTCAGCTAGGTTAAACCCTAAACCCTATCCCTCATTTGTGTACTGTTTTATTCTTCTTGCCATGTTTTCACTTCAACCAACATATATTTTGTATAAAGACGCACTTTCCCAAACACTCGAAAAGCTGATGGATTGTAATTGTGTTATTTATTCATAGCAGTAGTAGCATGTCATCAGATAGGCCCGATTGATCGTCACCTTCGTATGAAGTCTCGGTGGATCAGTTGGACATGCGCGTTTACATCCCTCATGCGTAATCCTTGAATTTCCACACGTTATACGCGGAGAAGACAGGATTAATTTGAGGATGTGGTATTGGTGTGACTGTGCATGTCGTTGCGCGTATTCGGGTTCGCAATCCACCTGAGTCAGTTTTACATACCAAACTCTTAATACTCCGGATCAATTGTTAAACACATGATCGGGCTTCGTATGAGTTTGCTAACCTTTACTTCATTGATCTGGGGTGCATATTGTTTGATTTAGGCTAACATGTTTTCAAACACACAAGCATTTGTGCAACCTTGTTTAAATCAAAAGGGTTGGTGATACGCAGTGAGCTCTATCTAATCCCATAGCGCAACAAACGAAACTGACGGTTTCAAGAAACTTCATCACTAAGGTCACCAGCATAACTTCCCCAAACGCAAAATTCATTTAGCTTAGCGCTATTAGGAGATGTCATGCAAATTAGCAATGAACGTATTCTTCCTCTCCGCGTGAATTTTTAAGCTTTGTGATCAATGTGTGTATGCGCATGTGCCTCCGACAAACGAGATCGGAGGTGGTCTTTGTGTGACAGTGCCAGAGAGCTTCCAGCACAGAGTTTCCCCAGCCTCATTCACCCATCTCGTGACAGTGCGTGTTAGAAATCACGTAGGTAAATTAGTGTGAGAGAGAAGCTTATCACGGGTACCGTTAAACGTCTCAGCATAAATTTTGAATTCTGAGGTCTTTGACAGGGGAAGATGCCCGTAATTCGCACCGGGCACAAAGATTTTATTAAAACTGCAACTGATTATAACGCAGATTCTACAAACACTTAGAAATATCCTTAAAAGTAGTTGTCAACGCCGTCGTAGTCTTCTCCTCAAATTGTTCGAGTTCTCTGCGACCTCGTTTGCCTAGCATTCAACCGTTTTCCTTGTTTTATCTCTGCGACGGATACAGCATTCTCATGTTGGTCTTTAACAACAAATCAGTGGGCTTAAGTTAATCAGTAGACGTATTCGTTTATGGATTAAAATCTAACACTAACATTCGGTTTTGTCATATGTACTTGCAAAGTCCCCTGATTCCAGTACCCAGAACCCACCCATTTTGAAATACTGAAATGAAATAAGATGCGAGTTCTGTTTGTGCACACTTAAAATGAAATAAAATGTTGACAGTTGTAGTTTGAACAAATCCACCAGGATAGGTTAGAACAGATAGAAGTTAAAGTCCGAGAGTGGAAGGTCAGTTGAAGAAATGGGAGTGATGTGTATGGGCTACGCGGTTTGCTCTGAACGGCGGCGGCGGCGGAGGCGCTAAACAAACATCGCACAATAATGACAAAAAAAACGAAAGAAAGATCGAGGAACAGATGAAAGGAAGTAGACAGAGAGAAATAAACCCAGAAAGTAAATGCACAAGTGAATCGCTAGCGATCCAAACAACGCACGAGGAACGGAAGGCCTGAAATTGTGCAGTACACGTTACCACAAGATAACATTTTCCCATCCCTCGGGATGGGACAGAGAGAGGGAAAAGAGAGCATAATAACCGAGGGCATATGCGCTCTGACAACAAACAGTTGAAGTTAAATTTTGTTGTGTGCCTTTATGTGTAATGAAGACAGTTACGGTGGAATCCGAAATAGCTCTGCATTCCTTTCCAGAAAGAAAGACCAAGGTGATCTATGTACAAAAAAATTGAATGTACTTGATTACATGCTGGTTATAAAAATGACCCTTTTCGGTAAATGTTGCTTAAATGACATGTGTGGAATCCTAGACAGATTGAACGACGTGGAGCCCCTCATTCGCAATCGAGCCGTTTAGAGAATGGATTTGAACTGGTGCAAGTCGATGCGAACCATACATGAATGCTACAGATTTGCTGAATAGAATGTGAACGCTTGACTGGATATTAATTTTGTCTCACATCTTGACGCCGGTGAGTTTTCTGCTGAACCATTTTTTTGGAGATTGTACAAACTGTCGAATGTTGTCATTGTGCATTGCTTTGGATGAAGCAGCCTCTGGTTTTTCACCGTTCGTTGGGGTGTGTCCATTGGAAATGGGACTTGTCACTGTGGGGCTTGAATTATGCCCGTTAACTTTGGATTTCATTTCATGCGAAGAGTTTTGTTCATTCGCATCTGCTTTACGTGCTGGTTTCGGAGTCAATTTCCCATTAAGGAAGCTTCTTCTTCCTTGTAAACCTCGAAATAGTTTGGACACATTGGATGATTTTTCAGGTGAACTTGGGGGTTGAACTGAACTGGATGCTAGTGTCCCGTTCTCCGTTTCTCTACCAACTACGTTATTGATTGGTGCCTCAGGGATTTCCGAAACCATTTGTTTTTCTAGTACCACACGACGCAGGTCACTGGGGGTTCGCGTCGGAAGTTTAGACTGGTTCGTGCTGGAACGTTTCATGATAATTGTTGATGGCTCCGGTCGCCGAGGCTCATCGGTTGTTTGGGAAACTCGCAGGACCGCAGGTGGTTCCGACTTGTCCACGCCATTCGAATTTAACTGAGATATTCGTTTGGAATTTATGGTCTGAGGCGGTAATATTGAACCAATGATACCATTGATTTCCTTAGATTGGGATAGTAACTTGGATGGTTCTTCGGAAATCTGGCTATCCGGGTAACGTGGATCGTGAATTGAATGTCCCGGTACATCAGCACCCTCATCGAACGCCATGCTATAGTTGCCATACTCACTGCGCATGGTCATTCCGGACAGTAAACTCTCCGTATTATCACCGTTATCTTCAGGGTCTGGTGCATCATCTGTTGGATGACTGAATGTTTGGGCCTCCATTCGCAAACTGAGGCGATTATTCCATGGTTGGACAACTTGCGCGACTTCTGGTGGAATAGATTTCACCGGCCATGCTTCTATTGGCTGTTGCACAACACAAACGTTCTCGTCCATTGGAATACAATCAATGAGCAATAAAGGTTCGTCAACATTTTCGTCCTCCTCTTGTGTACCGTTCAATTGGCCATTAAGAATCCCGTTTGTACATGGCAGTTGATTTTCCTGTTTTGATTTATCTGATTCACTTCGATCGGGAACGTGTGAACCGTTTGTAGGATTGCAACCATTTGTAACCGCCCCATTTTCTACATGTGCTCCTGTCCCATTCATGATCGGACTGACTGACTGTGGGCTGCTAGGAGATGTGAGACGAGTGCGATCGTGCTCTGGACCGATAGGACCAGGATCATCACAAATTGCCATGGAGACGGGACGTGATTTCTGTTTCATCTGAGTGAACCAGTGAACATAGGGTGGGTGATTCTCTTCTGAATTGGAGGATATAGTGTTATCAGCGGAAACCCCAGACTGATTGACGGGAGCTAATATATCTGGAACTACAGTGGGTATCACGGGTAATATTTGATCCCATTGTTGATCTAGTATTGTCAAAGGGGATCGGATAGGGGTTGGGGTGTTTGAATTTCTTTTGATTGCCCCGGCAATTGTGGCCCGGCGTGGGTCAGATCCACGTATGACCGGCGTATAATTTTCCAATTGTACATTGCGTGAACCATTCCACAATGAGTTGGGTCGGGGTGGATATTCCCCAATCGGTGTTGTCTGATTTTTACTACGGAATAAGATACGATAACTGGGCACGGAAACCACGGATTCCTCGTCTGACAGCTGCTCAAGCTGTTCAACTTCGTAAGGCAAAGTGGGTCTATAGATTCGTTTGGGACGAACCTCGGTTCCCACCTGTGTTCCCTCAGTAACAAAAGGTAGTTGCCGGCTAGAACGACTGATTTCCTTTTGAGTATTTAATGACGCAGCCATTGGTGGCCGCGATACCAGCGGCTTCTTGATCTGGCCTGTTAAAAGGGGATTTAAAGCCGGTCGACTGATAACCTTTCGAGGCAGAGTTCCATGCGCTGCCGTTCTTCTTTGCACCGTATCGGCCGTCACTGCAGGCTTCCTTGCTAACGACGATGAAACCCGCTTCGTTCGAGATACATTTCGTTTTTGTTCAGCTGTTTTCTCTGGGTTCATTTCAACTTGTGTGTTCTCATCTTCGATCTCAAAGTGTTTCAATGGAGTAGCATAATTCAAATTGAATTGACTAATAGCCCTTCGATCTTGACTGAGTGGAACTGGTAGTTCAATCTCCTCCGGATCAGATTCGTCCACATCAAAAACCAGCTGATAGGAAGTTGCTCGTTGTAATTCTGGCCATCCAAACACATTTTCCTCCACCTTTCCTCGTTCTTCAACTGGGGTGAATAGTTCGAAAGTACTGTGGCTGAATTCATTGCCCAGTTTGCGTGGATCAATAGTGGAATCACGTCGGTAGGCAGCTTGGAGATTTTCGTCCGTCGCCATTCGACACTCGACAATTGAGGTAACACAATTTTCCTGATTTGACCCTAGTTTGGACTGCGGTAGTTGACGAGGACATTGATTGTATTGTTCAATTGCAAGTGGATGTCCGAAGCGGATTGCCGAGACCATTGCATCACCGTCAATTTGGATACCATGGATCGAGCCGACCGGCACCAAATGTTCGGAACTGGCAAATGGCATATCATTCAAACGAATCTACAACGAAATGGGGGGGAAGAATAATTGATCAGATTACCCAGTTAAATGAGCATCAAGGATAAAATAGAGAAGAATGAAATGCAATTTTTCCATTTAGGCGTTTTAAATAATAGGCGTGTGCACACAATTTAACCCATAACCACGTTCATTCGTACCGAGTGAGAACAAAAGGGTTCGAAATCTTCATAACGCTTAGGTCAAACGAGTGAATACGAAGAGGATTAATCAAGTGGGGGTAAAATAAGGGAGTCTGAGGTAACAGAAAGCAGTAATGTTTGAAAACTAGAAGGCTTTCAATGATCCTAGCTTTTTGCGGGTCCCCTGATATTGAAATTTGTGGAGACTACTAACAAAGAACAACAACGGTAGGTAAGTTGATGCTATATTGATACAAATAATTCTGCGTTACTGGTCTGTTAAAAGCCCCTGAAATTCAACAATTTAGTATGGGGGTTAATTACTCTGCTTTGAGGACGTCTGATTTACTTTACTACAAATAATTCATTATCCTCAAATGTGGATGACATATTCGATGCGTAGTTAAAAGTGTGTTGATTACGAAATAGTCTGAAAACGCGTTGGATTAATAGTTATATTTGATGTCATCGATGGAGCTCCCGAGCCTAATGTGCGGAAAATTCTAAGTTCATTGGAACGAACTCTGCCAAATCTTTATACTTCTAGCAGTTGACTGCAGTTGATCTCCAACTAAATGCTAGATGCTACCCTTAATGGATCACTTGTGAATTGTGTAAATTCTCTGATTTGCTGCAGAGAGTCCTCTGGAAATTTCACTGTTCGCCAGATTCTTATATCTTTGGCAAAGATGCAATCTTTTCACCAAACGCTGTATGAATGATGAGTTTTACAGGCGAAATAAAGTCTTAGTCAAGTATGGAGTTCCTTGGAATATCATAAACTAACTTAGTAAATATGGATAGTACATTAACCTCCCCCCAACCCAAGATGGGTCCTTAACTAAAGATCTTCAGCAGCAACTTGTTGCGGGTCCCGCATTGTAAAATTTTTAAGAAGATAAAAATGGATTGAGAACACTGAAAGGGTCGCGTTCATTCATCCTGTTCTAGCAGCCCGGGTGGTGACGTGTGCCCACCTGCTTTAAAAATGTTTCATCTTTAATGGGAGGCAACCGGTATTATCTTACTAATATAAGGAAACTGATTACAGTGGATAACGTCAGTTCAGACGGAACAGAATGAACAACAATGCCATTTGTTTGATCGATAGAATCACACTTTTTTCCACGCTTGAGAAGATACATTTCTGTCCTCTCGGGCTGGCTCACATTCTATGGAACTTGTGTTCTCAACGAATCGCTTTGCACGAGAGACACTCGAAGCCGAATCGATGCCACACGCACAAGCTGAAAACAGTTTCCCGTGAATGACATCAACGCGGTCCATAGTTCGCATCCAATATACACCTTAGTCATTAGGGGATGTCAATTCTAAATTACTTCCCATTACAAAGCGAATCGCAACTAGTGCGCTTTAGAATGCAACTTATGCTCAGTTTGCTTTCGGTAATCTCATACCCATCAGAACCGCCGGGAAAATCTTCATACGTATAAACCCGAAAATTGTACATTAACATATTTAGGATTGCAGGATGCATATAGATAGAACTTCAACGTGGATCAAGCGCTCCTCATAAAATTAACTCACGCGCCACTAGACTTCTACTGACTGGAATGTAAACAAAGATACCCTCACAAGTTATTATGACATGAGACAATATAATTGGTCAAGCAAAGTTGATAGTCCACAGAGGTAGGAATTTCAGTTGGCTGTTTAATAATGATATCCTGAAGCAAACTTTTGTGTTCTTTTTATATCCGTTCTGGACTCAAACACTGCTCCGTCGTAAGGAATAACATTAGAGCAATGGGACGATTTCAGATTCTGCAAAATTCCTCATGAAAATATAAGAAGCAAAGCATGTGCTGTAAGAACGAACTCCCCAGCGATCATTTTTATCAGGTGGCAGGATCAACTTCTTTATGCACAAACATCAAGAAGCAATGCGAATCGCGATCTTGTCAGTCTGTTGAATGCGGTCGTTAGAATGTGAGAAAGCGAGACACCGAACAGATGTGGCGACAATGTCAATTTACAGCTAGATCGAAACAGATTGGTTTTTTGAGTGCTTCTCACAAGCATTCGTATCGCTCTGTGTGGTTGAAAGAATCGTGCCGACTAAAAAATGTTGATTTGGAGCCACCGTGGAATGCAGCGGCGTACAAACACCGACAGAATGCATCAAAACTTGATGACACAGTTTGATTTGTCGATGTTCAATTCAACAGAATTTTGGCACTAGTCCAATGCTTGTGGTTGATGTGGTTTCCAGTCGAATCTTCATAATCCGTGTTGGTTCACTCGAAAATAAGTCTCCATCAGATATCACACGCACCCACTGCTGTTCGAACGAAAACGTCACTGCTTATCTCATAAATGACTCTTTCGTATAATGCAGATTAGTGAATTGTTTTGTGTCTGCTCAGTACGTCAGTTACTCACCCCACAGACTTTGCCGGATAACTTGCTGGATAAAAATTTCGTTTCCAGTTTGTAGGTGACTTTGAAAAGCCTGTTCGTAAGAAACTGCGTAGTCGGACTTAACTAAATGCTTATCCCTTTGAAGGTAATTAGCTTTAAGCGAGTACGATTGACAGCGTTGTTCACCACTTCTCGCTCAAATTTACGCTAGCCACGACTACAACACTGAAGAAATTCAAAGTTCGTAATTTAAGTGACCGAATGTAAGTTGGAACTCACGGGCATTGTGCCGCTGAACATCAGCAGTCAATTGTAATAACACAAGGTTTGCGCTGTTTTCTTGTGTGTGATTTGAATGTTTCGTTAACACTCGCTTCTAAAACAACATAGTTGGACGTACGAGGTCAACTTTGTCATCACTTAGTATGTGTCTATGATCAACCAACCGAGTTTTGCCAACCATGTTTTGAAAACTGAGTAGGAGGAGTGTGAGTTAATAAAATAACCATTTTGTTTATCATTACATTTTGCTAAGCGATATTTGACCGAATAAAATGAGTAAGAGACAAGCACCTTCAGCTGATTGACAATTGATTAACAAACTAGTACATTTCGTTCATTCAGGACGCACGTCTTTATGTTTTTGGTGTTGTTACAATGCGTTCAGAACAATCTCAGGGGACTAAGAAATACAAGTACAAGTGTGTGTGCACATTCAATGAACGTCTTTGTTTTCTGTACAAAACTCAAACATTGTTAAATAGTATTTCCATGCAAACAATGGCATAGCGTCTAATTTTATTTGAACTGTACTTGGCATCTACTTTGAACGGCATGCTGACGCCGATGCAACCCTCAAAAGTACGTGTCGAAAAAAGAGGGTAATCGAAATTGTGGAACTGTCACGGAAAAACAACATTATATTGAAGGAATCGAACTTAGCCTTCAAAATAAATGAATATTTCAATAAACAACTAAACTGCAATCAATCCGTTAACTTCTTTGCATATAATGTTATTCAACTGAAAAAAGTATTAATCCTGTTGAGACAGAGGTAACATAAGTTCTCGAACGGATTTGTAACGAGCATGTTATGGCACAAATATGCCATCAGTTTGTTCTGCAGTCACGTGATGGGTAACGCCTACACCCTGTATGCATCTACGCATTCAAGACTGTGCGTACACTCACATGTCTTTTTATTTTGTTTCACCATTCTGTCGCCATTTCCACAAAATTCAGATGAAAAAATGCAATATTAGAACGAGTGTTGTTTAAATTACCACCGAGTGTGAAGAATGCACTATTAGTCACACACAGAGTAAACCCTTGTCTATCCTATGGGGACAACCCCATAGAATCCAGCCATCGTACTCTGTTGGAAACGCGTTCCTCTGTGGTAATCGAGCGTGGATTTAGACTTCAAGGAACCCAAAATATAAATATTGATATAGCTTTATTAGACCTCAGTACTAAATGGTTGATATACGTAAACATTCAGTCCATTAAATGCTGTTTAGCCCACCCATATTTCCCTGTTTACCTTCGCAGCAGTTTCAGCTAAGTTGTTCATCACTGTTCGATAGCAGCGAATGTTCAATCCATTTCACCCACAAATCTGTTTAGTCACCTCCCTCTCATTCTCACCCGTGTGTATTAGCGATCACTGGACATGAACTTTTCGTTCGCCACGAATGACTCCATTGCTTTGCTCGCTCACCAGACTCTTTTATCTCCACCACCACCCCTTTCCGCCCCCTCTTTTCTGATTACCGTTGTCCCAGTCCCTGACATGGTTTAACTCACACTGTCCTCTGATTATCCTATCGGTTGCTTAATCTTATTCGGATTGTTCCTCTGTCTCACCTGTGAGTTGCACTGTTTCACGTGCGCTCTGAAATTCACTTATCGCTTGTTCGCATGACCACCTGGTAAACTCCCTCGTTTCCATCTTGGTTCTCGATTGGCATTGTTTATTTTGCCGGTTCAAACATATCCCCTGGGAACGGAACGATTTGAGGTGTATATTATGCCATTGTAACGCTTTGTATTTACATTACCGCATTATTATTAGCTATTTTTTAAGTCAAATAAACCTGTAGTATATATGGACTTGGCTTCTGAGGTTGCGCGTCAATTATCGTTGGCCTAGATATTTGTACGGATTTACGGGTGAATATCATCTTATCACAGACTGCATAGATGAGTCTAGTTTTCAGTGTACAAAATCCACTACTCGGAAGGACAAACGATTTGAGGATGCTAAATTTTATTAAGGCTAACGTGGAGCCGGCAAGGTTACGACTATCGCGTGAAGAGATTGACGTTTTTGAAGTTATCTGATGCGGCCCAGATCAGGAGTAAACTCTGGTGAAATCTAAACAATGCTCACCACCACGAGCGAGTCTTTGAGTCCAAGGATTGTCTATCTTTGTGAAATGGATTAAGATCCTCAGCAAGCCA